CCGTGGTCAAATCAGCCGCACTTAAATTTAAGTATAATAATTAAAATAAGTATTCTCAGCATGATGGTAAATGAACTGTTTGTTGTTGTTGTTGTTGTTAACAATAGTGATGTTACAGTGGGTTGGAAAACGCCATATATTAAGTTCTTGTTTAAACAGAGACCCCACAGAATGATTTATTCATGATTCATGATTCAACACTTCAGTCTTTACATCAAGGTAGTACACACTATCACTCCAGTAGGTGGTGCTCATGCGCAGCTCAGAATTAAACAAGGCCTGGCATGAGCAAGACGCTAACTTTCGTCATCTCTCTGTCAATCCACAGGTACTGAAAAACTATTTTTCTATCTTAAGCTTGAATCGGTAAAATATGTGAATGCATCATAAATTGTTTTGTAATGTGTAACATGATTTGAGAAGTGGGTTAAGTGTAATTAGTTTCATTTTGTAGCTAATTGTTCAGACAAGCATTGTTATGCTTTGTAGTTCGTTTATGAACTCCAGTTTTACACAGTAGTTTTGTAAGTGTAAATTAACTGACATTAGCATACTGTAACAAGAGAAACTATGTTTTAAAGGTTGTTCAAAGTATTAGCCAGCCGCAGTGTGTAAACTGTAATGAGAAAATTTCACGTTAAAGTAAGTTTCCCTTTCCAAGTCACTCGTTAACATGGCGTGGTTGCGCCATATTGTTAACCGCTGCTGTGAAGTGCAAGTGTAGGTGAGAGAGTATGATGTATAAGAATGTTGGGAAAGGCTTTGTGTATGTTACGTTAGTGCTGAATGCTTGTTAACAGGATTGTATATGTTAATATATGAGTGAATGTAGGTTATAGAGTAATTGTGTCTTTTAAGTTATTATTTTGATACATATTAGTATTTTAAGTTAAGCCAATTTTGTCATTTGTAACGTGTTACCTTCATTTTGAATTCATGTGAACTTGTTTTAATTTAGACAAAATGTTTTATATAATTTATTGTAGTTAAGTTACAGCATTTGTTGTTCAGTTTGTGGAATATTTTGGTATGATTTTGACATGCACTTAAATCAGAAAGTTAGAAATGTGACTCACTGGCATGAGCAAGACACTAACTTTCGTCATCTCTCCATCAATCCACAGTTTATATATTGGCTACACAGTGTAACCCTTGCTGCTGGTCCAGATTTCCCCTAGGTCTGGTGCCGGTAAGAATGTCAGTTGGAATAATAAATCATCCATCTTTGCTCACTATATCTCTGCCTTTCTACCTTCAGGTGTGCATAAACTACAGGTAATGAACTTCTTTTTAAACACAAAAAGGTTATCTCATCGGTATCTGCCATGAGAAGCGGGTAATTATCGTAACAGCTGAAAATAATTCCATATCATGCATCCCTGATAAGCAGTAATTCGGAGGTTGTTGAGGGAAAACTTTTAGTTAACAGTCAAGTAGTTGTAGGATATGGTCATGCAGAAAAAGGCATTAATAAGTGCCTTATAATGACTAATAAAGTGCCAATATGCTACCAATAAGCAACTGGTTAATGCTGAATATGTGCACCTTAATATTAAGTGTTACTATAACTATAACTATTTGTTCTGAATTAATGACTCACTCACCATTCCCACTAAAACCATTATTTGAGGCTTAGCATGGATCTGACATTTCCTAGCTCAGCATTTTAACTTTTGATTCAGGACTTGACCTGAGATTTGTGTCCCACGACCAGTGGGCTTGCTCACAGAGAGGCACCTCATCATGAGACTTCATGAGAGCATGATCCCAGAGCAACCTCTGTTCCAGTCTCATTAGCTCTAATATGTGACATACAAATGTCAGGCTGGCTATTTTAACCCAGGGTCAATAAAGACATACAGTGTTTACACTCAACTGTAAACAGCTACAACACATTACAATCAACTTCCAGTATATTCACAGAGGAGATTATAGGGGCACAAAATAAATACAGGGAAAATAATAACCAATTATATTTATATCACACCTTTTAAACCTGAGGGGCCTAGCAGTGGTATAAGGCATTAGTAGCTTACTAATACTCAAGCAAAGTCTTATAGATGAGGAGGAATGATCCTGAATTAAATCCTAAATTTAATCAGATATGGCAACGATATGAGGTCCTACAGAGTAATCTTGCTGCAGAAGTTTTTTTTGACTACCTGTAACCAGCATAGATGTAAAAGGAAAACTGGGCACAGTGTTGGAGGCGGCATTACGTTCATTTGTATGAAAGCTGCTCAGTGGCGCATGAAGCCAAAAAAGCCACTTCCCGCTCCAAAGATGCTCTATGCAAGCAAATAAACAGACTACTGAAAGATTATCTTTGTACCATTCTTTAGATACCCAATGGGACGAACAATACCACAGTTAAATAAAATACTTATTTCTGATTAATATGCAAATTTTTAATAACACGATGCATCAGGACCAAAAAGTTAAAAAATACATGTGCTATGCATTTAGAACAGCAGTGCTTCTCCCTGGTTGTCAACAAAAATATATTCCAGGTACACACCAGGATACTAGAGTTGACAGTGTTTTATTGCTCTATCAAAAAACAGTGTCATTACTAGTATCCTGCTGTGCACTGGAATATATTATTGTTGGTTAGAATATTTTGGTGCAAAAGGTCATGTCAAATCTGCAATCTACTAGTACTACATTCTTATCTAAGTGCTCTGACAAATAACTGTCTTCTAATGATTTTGGAACAGTAGAGTTGTGTTGTTGTTATTTATTTTCTGAAAATGTTTTAACAGCCCCCTCAGTCACATCATCCTGTGCCTGGCATGCTTCAAATATACAGCAGTCACCAGTTTAATCACTATTCTCAAGCAGTGTGCAAGTATGGTAACCATAGCAATAACGATTATGCTGATTGCTAAATTTCATTTAACCATCATATTGGCCGCATGCTTACATGCTCACAATGATATTGTTAACATGCAGATGTACATCAGGTATAATGTGTGCCACATTCACCATTTTACATTAGCATGTTTGCATGCTAGCATTCGTTGTACAGCAGTAAACACAAAGTAAAGCTGAGGCTGCAGCTAGTTCGTCAGAATCTAAAGTACTGAGCACATTGAAGGTTTGGCCTGATACAACCTGGTTATTAGTCAGCTTCAGAGACGATGGAGGGTAGTAATGATTAATGTAAATGCTTTCTCACCATGTGTGGCTGGCATAGTTCTCCTCTGTAGTTTCGCACATCCTCAAGGTCAAGAGTGGCTGTAATCACCTCCTACAACACACACGCGCACACACACACGCGCACACACACACACACAGAGAGATCAGTCTCTGGCTCTTGTGTGACTTAGGAATGCCTGCAGTCTTTCTTTGTGACCTGCCCTGCAACTTACCTAACACACCTGCCTACCTCTACACACTGAAAGTACTACATGTCTTCACACTGCACTGTACAACTCACCTGCCTTACCCTAGTAAACAGCACTCACTTTATAATTGTGAATTCCATACAGACGTATTTGCAGGTAAGCCGGTTCTTTCTTTTCTGGTTCTTTTCATGCCCATACATACCACATCATTAAGGGAGAACTGCGCTCCCTGTGCCACAATGTCTCCATTGATGGCCACCATGGTGCAACCATCGTAGTAGACACGGTCTCCATCGCAGCCCCTCTGGTTGGCATACAGGTAGATACCTCCACTCTGTAACAAAACCACCAATGCACTGAATGCAGGACTGATTATAGTAAAACTATTGCAGACTCCAAGCACTAAATTCACAGAATGTGATGGTCCTACAGTTGTGGGACAACACCACCCTCTGGTGATCTCTGCCTTGCATTGCCTGTGCAAGTACAGATAGGTGACGAGGAAAACAACATAAAGGGTCCTGGTGGAATGATTTCAGGAATATAAGGAATTCATATAATAGAACTCCAATAACCAGCATATGTGTTCCACATAGTCTTAAACAACAATAATGACACATTTTTCATGCTTCTATATGAACAGACCAGCAAACATCTGAGGACTCTGGGTTAAAGTATACCTTGGTGGTGGCTGACTTGATCAGGTTGACTCTTTGGTCAGCTTTACGGAGCTCGTGGTGGCTAGCAGATGAATTAGTGAAGATTTCAACCCCATCCAAACCCATCGAAATGTGGGGGCTGAGGAGAAGAGAGAAGAGTTAGGATTGTTTCAGACAGCACACATATAATTCTTACACAACCCTCTGTAATTCTACCTTCTGGGGTTCCAGAGCTCTGCACATATCTCAGTGCCGATGCATGTGTCCTTTGTGGACAGCACACAGTCACCAAATGGGACTGTATCCTGGTGAACACAGAAACAGAAGCATAAATAACACGGACCTCCTCCTTGTTAATTGGCTGATCAGTCTCAGCTAAACACAGATGATGACCGTTTTTGTTTCTGACCTGCCCTGTTACCTCCTGGATCATTCTGGGCAGGAAATACTCCTCCACTTGCCTTGAAGAAACAAGCATAAAGACTTTTACTACCATCCATTTCATTTGCAAAAGTGAAATACAATGCATTAGTAGTAAGAAAAAGGCCAAAGAGTTCTGGCCTCACCCAGCATTTTATTAAATGTAATACATATTCATAATAATAACTTTATTCAGTGCCTGAAATGGGCCAGTACTCATTTTCTGATTTTTATCCACATGAGTACCCTTCCTTCTTAGTGAGTACTGCCACCTACACAGTAAAAGTTGTGAAATAATTGCCTAAAAATAACTTTGATGCTTTGATGCATACCCCCCAAACCTCCATAGCAAGTTTTTGGACCTCATTATTTCTAAAACCCTGCGTAGAGCAACCCTGCGCAATCCCCATGTAAACACATAGCGAGCTTAACGCTTAGAAAACAGCACTGAAAACTTCCTTGTTGAAAAGGATAGAAAACGAAAAAGAAAAAAGAATTAGAGTTAGGGTTGTACTGAAGTACGGTACTGACGCCATTTTTGGTCCAATTTGACAAAGCAACCAGCCACAGAGGAGGGCAAGAATAAACAAAAATAAAAAAAACATGGTGAAGTGAAAACCATGATGAGAGATAAAGATGGTGAAAGTAAAGCCAATAAAAACATAATGTAATCGAATGGAAAATATAAATACAAAGAAACACAAAATAAGAACATAAAAGCAGAAGAATAAGAAGTGGTTTAAAGGTCCAGTGTGTAGGATTTAGCAGCATATAGCAGTGTAGTTGCAGATTACTACTCACACTTCCTCCCCCCCTTACAAACTATGGTGGCTGCAAAACGTTTAAAACATTTTAACAGCCAGTGTTCGGTTCGTCCGGTACTGGGCTACTGTAGAAACAAACATGGCAGCCACCAGGGAAGGCTTCAAAACAGCTCATTCTAAGGTAATGAAAACACAACAATTCCTATTTTCAGGCAATTATACACTAATGAAAACATACCTATGAATATAATATTCTATGTATGCCAATAGATTCTCCTAAATGTTACAAACTGGACCTTTAATAAGTGGGATAGTTTTATGTGGAAAACATCCCTGTATTGCCCTGATTACACTAAAATTCATTGCAAATGAAAGTGGTACATGTATTAAATAATTAATATATCAACAATAAGTGTAGTCATAAAGATAGAGACAGAGCTATAAGAAGGGCTTAAAATATAATATGATAATATGAGTGCCACACAGTCTGTGGTAGACTTCTGAGTGATGATCACCGACCTTAACTGGTTCCAAGGTGAGAACCAGCGCAGCTCTCTGTAGTTCCCATGGTTGGCCATCAGCATTTTAGGTCTGATCAGCAGTATCTTTCTACAGGATGGAAGGGAAATACGGAGGGATCTGTGCTCTGTATGCTCCAACTGAACGTTGTCAGATGTATAAAAATACTGAACATGTCATTTATGAGACTGCATTGGTGTGCTGACGTACTTGTTGAGGAACAGGACCCGACAGTTGTAACGCACATTGTGATGCATGATGGGCCTAAGGGGAGCAGAATCCAAAACACTTAAAATAGCAAACAGGACCTCCAGCTATACAACGTGAGATTGTTTTTAGGTAAAAACAAACTTGTCCGGTCAGTCCAATTTCAGAAATTGGGGCTGCAAATGTCTGAGCAATCCTCTCAACCATGAATAGTGACGGATTTATTTTTAATTAAAAAAATATATTTCCCACTCTTTTGAATAAATCATTTTCAGGACATTTTCCAGGAGCTTTAGGAGCACTTGCTCATCAATATTATATCATAACCTAATCATATAATTCTCCGGTAGGCCTAGTATTGATACATTTTCCCCAGTTTGTTCACGATGAAGTGTCTCAGGTTTATGGAACACTTGCTTTCTGCTGTTCTCCCCGCAGCCAATTTGTCTGCAGTGTCTCTGGAGATTTAACGACAGTGTGCTACATTTTTTTCAGTTTATGTAGGTGATTTGAGTGAGGGACTATAATACAATTACATTACATAAATTTTTTTCCAGGACAACATAGATTATTTCCATGATATTTTAATCAATTTCCAGGTCTTTTCATGACTGGAAAACTAGTCTCTAAATTTTGCAGGATGTGTGGTAACCCTGAGTTAGAGTCACAGCAGTTTGCAACACAATGACTGTTACTGAAGCCTCTCATATGAAATTGCTTTTAAATGTTGCCACTACATGAGATCTTCACAAGACAACATCTTACTCATTGTTTACACAGGACTGCAGGACATTTGGACCAGTATACTTTATATACCCACATTCCCACGTCACAGATGATGTCCTGGGTGATGGGAGACTCCAGAAGCTTCCTCAGAGCCTGAAAGCCGTGGAGCAACGTGTCGGACTCATAGAAGTGGTCCGCACAGCCATACCCGCTGTAACAAATGTAGTGAATAAGAAAACTGAACCTCCAAATAGTACCTACTATTCCATATCAATATGGGAATATAATATATTGATGTCAGTGTGAAACCTTAGGATGAATGTTTCTCCCATCGTACCATATCTCCAGCTCTGGGCCCAGCCTGTATTTAGCTCCATTAGCCCTAGCAATCTCAATACCTGCAGAGAAACCCACACACAGTCAACAGGCAGGATTACTGTTTCATGGCAGAAGTTATTGTTGACCAGAATCAGAGTTCAGTTTTTTTTGCATTAAGTGGTTTCTACAACCACACATACTGCATGCACCTCCACAAAGTCACAAGCCTTGTGAGGAGAGCAACGGTATGACATCACAGTATAACACAATTGCACATTTATATAATCTGTAACATTTCCACATTAAAATGTCTATAAACACTAGAGCTAGGTTCTATATGTTGTTGAGTTGCATTGTGTCATTTATTCCAAATGTTTCCAACAATGTTCAGACCCAGA